TTTCAGGGGTATTTTTGGAGCTGGCAGGCAGCGGTTAGCCTGAAAGACATGTTTTTCGTCCCAACTTGCAGTTGCAGTTTCTGAAAGTGGATGTTCTAGTCTCAAATGGGGCCACGTACCGCGTGCAGGACTGGGGTTAAAGGCAGTGGATACGTGGCTGGAAGGTGGAGCGGTTTGATGACATTCGTAAACATTGACGCAGGTCATGGTAGATCAAACAAACGGTGTTATGGTAAGGGACCACTCCTTATCTATTTCCACCAATTACGCCCAGTGACGTCACAGAAGTCGCTCCGCCCTTCAGTCATGGTGTCCACTCCCTTTAAGTCTCGTATAAATATCCTGTTCAGACCCAGCATAATTTTCATCCCATCGAGGCCTTTTCAAAACCTCACCCGTATGGGTGAACCAGTTGGGAAACCAGGAGCGCTTATCCAGCCATCAGCAGGTCCCAGCAAGTCTCTGTGATGCCGAATCGCATTCAAACGCTGTGATGATTTTTACGATTCGTGAAGGATGTAGAGTGCGTGGCGCATCCTATGAAGCCCCTCTCTACTGATTGAAATCTCGAATCAATAGATCATTTAAGATGTTGATGGATCCGTCGTTTCATCTGTCAGATGAGCAAACCTTCACCGAAATGTTCATTGTGCCACCGAAGGGTACGACAGATCCACTAACAGTCACAAGATGCGGACGAACGGTAGTTTCCATCCCACGTGAAGAGCCTGATGGGCGCAAGGTAAAGGCATTTTGGTGATTTTTTCAGTAATATCAAAATTTGTGAATAATTCCAGCCACACGGCTTATTTCGTGACTATCTGCTGTTGAGTGCTAGTCTGGAATCGTTTCACGATGTGGTTGACTCACGATTATCCACCCGCCTTGTAGCAAAATCAGCAGCATTCTGGCAGATGGTCCATAGCTATGGCGGGCTCCATGAGGAGCTGGCTGACGCTATGGCTGACATCAGGAAAGTTCGGTAGGTTTTTTTCCTTTTTCTTGTCATTTTAGGAAAATTTGTTGTAAAGTTGTTAATTTCTTTTTATTTCTTACGCTCTGTAGGTCAAACCTGCAAGCTGTCGCTAACCTTGTTTGCGAAAGAGCGCGAAAAATCATGCGTCTATACGAACAACGTGAAAAGAAGCAGAAGCTGCTTGCAAAGCTGTTTGTGAGTTTTAGAATTTTCCGGTTTCAGTGTTTTGATTCTGTTTACATTTACATTTACACTCAGAACCATTTGATTGTAATAAACTTAAATATCCGCTTAAGGGAAATTAGACAAGTAAATAATGCTAAAAATGTTACGAGGTGAGACTTAGAATTGATACCGGGGCGTTGTGGACAGCGTGCACTCAGATAGGTTGGTCACACGCCTCTTACTTTCACTCTCTCAGGTGCGGGAGGTACTCGAAGGTTACATTGTATAAATTCACTTAATTAATTAACGAACGAACGTGGGCTTATGGAGTAATCGATGATGTTTATTCTGAAATTTTCTAGATTGTTCTCCTTTCTCGGTCGCGCTTGCATCAATCCCCCTTGTCCTACGCCGCCAAAACAATAAACGGAGCGCTGGCTCAAAGGCACGTTTAGGGGGAAGGTCGCTCGCGTGTGCCTCCAGTCTCCGATGACGTAGGAGACGGGCGCGCACAAACAATGCCAAAGGCACAATAACTGGCTCGATCGCCTCCCGCATTCTTCCGCAAGCCCGCGCCTTACACTTATAGACACGCCATGTGGCGGCGCGCAGCATAGCGATCGCGTTGCGTCTGCCAGCGGCAGCGCAGCTGACGATAGGCGGTTGCGTGCCGACGCGCGGCAGCTGCGCTAGCGGTTGCGTTGCACACCGCGCGCAGCTGCATACGCGTTGCGTTGCCTAACGCGCGCGCAGCCTGCGATAGCGGTTGCGTCGCCACGCCGCGCGCAGCTGCGATAGCGGTTGCGTCGCCACGCGCGCGCAGCTGCGATAGCGGTTGCGTGGCGGTTCAATTTCTTTCCAGACCACTTGCCCTTTGCCCTTGTAGTTCTATTGAATAAAGTTGGCATTTCCAGGATGTTGCCTGTCTTCGAGAAGCCCAAACAACTGTACAGATGCTGTTGAACCAAAGCGATTATCCAAAAGTGATTGAGTGCATTGAAACCAGTGAGGAGGTGCTCAACTCTGAACTGAGTGGCGTCCAGTGCTTCAGGTGATCAGAAAAGTTCAATTTTTTTTACAATCGTCTGCTGGTTGATTGATAGAATTCAGGCATCTTGGATCACAACTGAAAGAAATGTATGGCGTAATAGGTCGGATGATGCTGGAGGACTTTGCTTCTTTAATACAGAAGGAATTCGGCACGAAGCCTGAGGATGGTGTACTGCTGACGTACGATGTAAGGCATTCGTAATCACTTTTTGATACTATTTTTGCTCTATGTCTCCCCTTAAATGGCAGTGCTATATTATTATTATTTTTATTATTACATATTTTTACTCCTTGTCGTTTTTTTAATCGTCATTGCGTGAGAAAGGTGTTTCAGGGCGAGTTGTCGTGTGTTCTGATGGGTTTGATACAAGTTCGACGGTTCAGCTTCATGTCTGTTGTTAGGACTGAAATAATGGAAGCATTGAAGGGAATCTTGCGGCACGAAGTCAAACTTCATATTGTGGAGAGCGGCTTAGACCTGACTGATTTTGACCCCACTCTCAAGTTAGTTTCTTGTTCTGCTTGTTTTTATAAGCTAGTTCTCTGCCTCACAATTTCCTTAAGAAATTTGGTTTTACAGCCAGCTTGGGGAGCCCGTGCGGCGGTTACGGTTCAAAGATTGGTTGAAAACTGTAGAGGATGTCACAAGAGAATTTTTCGACTTCTGTAAAAGAGTTCAGGTAAACCCATAACTTAACTGTTTCCTTTCAAGTCCACTACCTTAATTTTTTTTCATTACAGAGCCTCCAAGATGTGATTTGTGAATGTGCAGAACGGGTGAGAAGCAACACTCATGGAACTGGTCTCAATGGCCTGAATTTTGTCAGCGATGATGCCTTACAAATACGACCACCGGTTGACTTGTC